GTTAATCCAAAACTGAACGCATGAACGTATGAAAAATACGTTGAGTATAATCTTTAAAAAACAATCTACAACTGCTTCTACATTTCTGTTTTAAACATAGATATTGTTTTTGATTTGTTAAAAAACAATAAGTCTACTACTATATTTCTGTTTTGTACATTTCTGTTAGTTTAGATTTTTTAAAGCTTTTTTACGGAATGTATTTTTTATATTAATATTCTTTTTATAAGGATTTTTATAAAGATGAGTGGGGTACTATAAATACCATAATTTCGGTAAAAATGATTAGTATTTTACCAATATATTTTGATTTGAGTATTATAAGTATACATAATACCAATGCTTATTTAAAGTTATTGTATTCTTTAAACCGATTTCATATATTCTATATTATTTCTATAGGAAGAATAGGTTATCCCTTTCGTTTTATACAGAGAAAAATTTAGATGGGCTGAGTTCAGAACTATTCTAAAACAAGCTCTTTTAGTCATTTCCATAAGATTTTCTTATCAGTTGATGAAGTTAAATCTAATTTTATCGCGATATTTTTATATTAAAAAGAAAGTACATCAATTACTTGCTGCAATATCATAAAACTCTCATAATACACTTACATTGTTAGCCTTACATAAGCACGACACTATGTATTTATTTTTACATTGCACTTAGCTTTAGAAGTATTGTTGTTATTATAATTCTGTATATATACATGTATAATTTCTCGATTACTATGTGTAATTCTCAAAAGAGTGCATTTAACAAAAAATTAACTTTTCTGAAGTGTTAGAATTTATAAGTATTTATTACACTAAGAACTTGTACTGCACAAACAAATCCTACTAGAATTTTCATTTTTTTATATTCTGTTTTCATATTTTGTTATGACTGCGTTGTCTTTGTAAAATTGAAGTAGTATCCAAGTTTTAATTTAACTTTTTTATGAATCAAATTATTTGTAATCAGTATAATAAAACATATTTGTAGGAGGTAGTAGCTTGGGAATAGAATGATCAGTTTAAATTTTTTGTGAAAAACGTACAGTACAGATATGACCGACAAAACATCGCTGAACTCATGAAAATTCAGAATTTGAAATAACAAAAAATTTTCTTTTAAAGTATGTGTATATTAGACGGCCGGAAAACCATGATAGTGGCTCATCCCCTGATCGTCACTTTGCCTATGATCAATCAATGATATAAGATACTTTTTATACCAATTTTCTGAGGGCGATATGCCTCTTCAAATCCCGGCTTTCTAAAGGTTAAAGTACAATTAATGAGGTTATCCGAGAATCTAACTTATCTTAAATGTATGCTTATAAAATATTTTTCCATTCATCAAATATTACGGATTAATAAATAAAAATTAAATTGACATTGATTTCCCAGTTTGAAAACAAAATTACGTTCAAAATTTGTAAAAATAAGTGGTAGATAATGTAGTATTGGTTAACGCACCTGTTATTTTACGTAGTCAAAAATAACACAGGTATATAAATAGTAAATGATTTTCTATATTACAATCGAGGTATCGTCTTACCCGAAGGATTTTAGTGCGCTGAATTCAAATCTGGCCTCAGAGTTGTTCCATCACGTCAGATTTTTGAGATATCCTAAATTAAACGTGCAAAAAATACTTTTTTGACATATTTGAGGTTATGTAACGTCGTAAATAAATTTATTCAGAAAAAACTATTCAAAGTATCTTAAAGTACAAATTTTCTCCTTTCAAATGCTTTTGAGTTTGCCTAAATATTTTTTTTCGCCAAGATATCGCATTTTGAAATGTTTATATTTATGAAATTTTCAAAATTCGAAAATGCATGTACCCCGATCATTGAGATACAAGGGAGAGTCACGTTAAGGACGTTTACCTGCCTTAACCAAAGTATAACAGAACTTCACGAAACTTTTTAGTATGATACTTTAGAGTATTCCGAACCCACACGCGTTTTTTGGAGATACGTTATAATCCAAAAACTAGAGAAATTTAATAATTATGATGAGCATTTTAACACGTGGTCTTATGGAAGCGCGATTGAAATGGCCAATAAATCTTGCCAGAAATAACACAGGCGAACAAATTTTTGATGACTAATAAGAAAAACATATTATTATTAAACACTCAAAGTTTCAAACCATCTTATAACAGTTATTATTACGAAATTAATATAAATAACAAGAAAATAGTACATTTGAGATAAACTTGGCAACGCCGCATCGTGCAGTTCTATGAGAGACGCCGCGCGTGCGCATACGATAGTCGGCGGTAAATTTTAAATACATCGGAATAATAGATCGATTGATATTTTACATCGGTATATCAATATTGCATAGAAAGAAATTTGTCAATAAACAAAACTCGCCTCTTTCAGTCTACCTAGCAGCATGTAAGTATATCACGCATAGCAGTACACATATATAAGTATCTCATGCGCGACGTTGCCAAGTTTCAACTCAACGTCGATAATCAAGACAACTACTGTGGAATGGTTAAGGCAGGGAAACGTCCTTAATCAAGCACTACATGACTATTGACTCAACACGGGAAACCTCACCAGGCCCGGACACCGAAAGGATTGACAGATTGATAGCTCTTTCTTGATTTGGTGGGTGGTGGTGCATGGCCGTTCTTAGTTGGTGGAGCGATTTGTCTGGTTAATTCCGATAACGAACGAGACTCTAGCCTGCTAAATAGGCGTACCTTCTGGTATCTCGAAGGCCCCCGGTTTCGGCCGGGTGGCACATTCGGCGGTATATTTTATTCTAATTCTATCTATCTATCTAATATCTAATTCTAACATAATTAAGAACATCCAAATAAGTCTTGCGACGGCTCAAAATGTTCGTTCTGAACAGCACTATCAAAATAACTCTGGCGATTTTGGATTTTTAAGTAATACACTATTTATTTTCTAATCGAAACATTAATCACTATTTTTAAATACAATAATGATATTTTTTTTAAAAACACTTCAATTACATTCAATATTTGTATGCCACTAACAGACTTTACAAATCCATTATGTAATAATGTTAATATGAACAATGGAGATGGAAAACTGTTTAAGCCGTATTTTTGAATATTGGAGCAGATGTATATAAAAAGATAAATAAAATTATATAGTCTGAGAATGCTAAAATGTATAACATATTAGTTATATTTATGTTTTATAAAAAGAAATCGAAAAATAGGAATAATCGAAAAATTTTTAATTATTATATTTTATATTTACCATTATTGTTATTTAAAAAAATTTTAATACATACAATATGAATATTATCATATTACAGATCTACGTTCAAGACATTACGAAATACCTTCTGTCAGAGATAACTAATTAATTACCCCCAAATATCTATTTCAAGTCGATTTCGTTGATTTTTCCTCGACTTAACTTAGTTTTCCAGGCTATTGGATCCGTCATTTTGAATTTCGAAAATCTGATAATGGATTCGTGTTCAGCGACCTCAAAAGCCCTCAAATATATATTTCAAATAGATTCTATTGATTTTTCTTCGACTTAGCTTGGTTTTCCAGGTCCTGTGGCGCCATATTGGATCTGTCATTTTGAATTTCGAAAATCTGATAACGGATTCGAATTCAGTAAAGGAAAGTACTCTGTATATATTTGCAAGTAAACAGCGATCAAAATACCATTTTTATTACAAAAAACGTTAAAATTCGAGTAGTAGGTGGTTAACTTTCGGCGGTTATATCGGGTCCGCCATTCTGAAAATTCAAAATCGCTAGAGTTATTTCAAAAGTACTGTTCAAGACGAATATTTCAAGCCGTCGCACGACTCATTTGGATGTTCTCAATTTTGTTCAAGCTCAATGGTTGAGTTGATACGAAATGCGTCATATACGTATTTCAAAATGCAATATCTTAGCAAAAGAACAAATTTTTGGGCAAACTCAACGGCATTTGAAACGGGAAAATTTGTACTTTAAGGTGCTTTAAATAATTTTCTGTGAAAAAATTTATTTACGATGCTACGGAACTTCAAATATGTCAAAAAACAATGTTTTTTGCACTTTTAGGTTAGGACATCTCAAAAACCTGACATGATAGAAGTATTCTGAGGTCAGGTTTGGATTCAGTGCACCAAAATCGTTCAGAAATGCTATAGCTCGCTTATGATACAAAATCTTGTATATCTGTGTATTAATCATGACTTACTTAATAAATTAAAAATTTTTTAATAAAAAATTAATTTCTAATAAAAAAATTTTTAATGAATAAATATTTTAATAAAAAAATTATTATTTAATAAAATATGTTATTTCTAAATATTTATAATTTTATCACAAATAAATTATTCTTTTATCACTTAAACGTGTCGCACTTTCATTAAAAATAATTAAAAATTTGACTTTTCCTATACTGCCTGTATAAACTTCGCCATCACGTCCGATATTTTAATTTCTAATGGATTATGTTAATATTCCTAATAGTAAGAGAAGACATATTGTTTTTGTTGACTTTAAAAACGGAGAAAGTTCTGCATTCGACACAATACTTTTAATGTGTGTTCGCGAATATCTCTGGGATGGTTAAGCTGATTTCCATGGAGGTAAGCTCATTGGAAGGAGTATACTAAGGAGTTGGTCTCATTACATTATTGACGGAAAGTAAAATGCTCTTTTAACGGCTAGTCCAGTTTGCATACAAAGTATTTTCAGAATCTACAACACAGAAACACATCTATAGAAGGTTTTGATGTGTAAAAGACGATGATGTAGTTAATAACAGTTACGTGATCTACAAAACAAGATAACTATGAATTTAATTCTTATATATAAGATTTTATTCATGCTAGATTAATAAACATCTGGATGAATAGTACTGATAAAATAAAATAACATAACAAAAAATCAATAATTACACAATTTGCTCATTAATTTCTAATCTGTTTTGTTCATCAATATCTTTTTTCGAAATTTATATTTCAAATTTTGTATGTCAGATAATAAAACTTGATCTACATATTTACCTTGATATTACACATGGCCGTACGCCGTTTGCAGCCATTTCTACAATTTTCAGCCGAATATGGTTAGGAAGTGGTCGGCCATTGATGAAAACACCTCCTAATTGATTCACCCGACCTTGGCCTGGTATCGAATTTATGTCTGTAAGAATGTTAAAAAAAATTATTTTTAATCATTAAAAATATTTATATTCTTATATAATAATGTTTTTTTGTATAACAGATTATGTATTTTTAAAGATTGCTAAAAATAAATTACATTTTAAAACATGCAAAACGATTTTCGTTCAGCAATTTAAGTTTATGTATTATTGCGCATTCGCGGCAAAAAATCTATTTTCCAGCAGAAAAATATTCGATTTTTATAAAAAAAAATATATATGGCTTCTCTTTAATTTGTAACATAGAAAAAATCAAAAAAAATTACATTAGACTCCTGTAAAATTTGAATTATACAATGTTTGATATGCAATTATAATATAGATAAATTTGACAGGAAAATCACGAATTATCTGAAAAAAATATGCCATCAGCTCCGCCTTAACCTATACCATTGGAAAACATTTATTTTGTAATTTATATCTATCCCTAAATTTAATGAGATAAGTAAATAAGCAATCTCGTCTCTTACCATGTGTTCATAAATTCCTGCATCCGTATGAAGTTAACTGATTTAATCGAATTTTTTTATTAATTTTTAGGTAAATCATCGAACTAATCTCTGCATTATCGTGTACGTCATAGATGAATCTTTATTTCTATCAGAGATGCCATACATGCTTTTGCAAAATTTCTTTTAACTTGATTTAACTTAATAATAATCACATTTCGTTTCATATTTGTCGAGAGAAACTTTTTGTCTTTCTCTAATAAGCTTTTTTATTTCTAATTAAACGTCATTGTTTTTAATCGTGATTGATTGATTGTATGGAGTATAACAGTGCATGTGCAATAATTGTAATGATTATATAACACTTTAATGTATATCTACACTGAGAAAAAAAGTTAGTCAAATCAACTGTACCGCATAGATAAATAACGGCAATAGTCTTTATGTTCAATTCAATTGATCAAGTGCAGTTAAAATGGCAGACCAAAGGCGGTTAATTTAAATATTTTAAACTATTTATTTAAATAAACAATGGTGTTAAATCAATAATATTACATTAATAAATCAATAAATGAATCATCGTTGGAACAAAGGCTGATTCAATTAATCCAACTATTAAATCAAAATAACTTAAACAGTCATTGGTATTGAAACAATAATGCTACCTTATTCAATCAATACATGAACCATCATTGAAACAACGGCTAATTCAATTAATTCAACTATTATATAAATCAAAGAAATAGTAAAAATTTTTTTCCTATAGAGATGTTATACCTTATGGCTTATTAGTTGGTATATAGATGATCGGAGGAGGTCGATACTTTGTACATATTTGATAACTATATATTATACATTTATATTTTCTAACTTAAATTTAAAGGGTGTTATTTCGCTCGCATTTTTTACGCTATCGCAGTACCGACATTCGCTATTACAATTCACTCGCAACATTGTAGTATCAATGTCGCACCGGTCTTATATATATACACTAATAACTTTTTCTGCCGCTTAAGAGTGAGCTATAGGTTATTAGATTTTCGGATTACTTAAAGACTAAGATCTCTAGCGGTCAACTGCATAAAAGAAAGAGAGAGAACGAGAGTGTTTTATTACCTGAAAATATAAATTGTTTGCGATTTGCTCGCTGTTGTTTCTTATTTTTTAGCTTATAATCACGGTTTTAATTTTATATATCTCAGTCACAGGAGAAAGGAAGATCATTATTGAGAAGGATGTTGCTTCATTGAAGTCTTATTTTTACGCGCGCAATAGAAATTTGCCAAACACGTTATGCATCAGAATTTATAGGATAAAGGATGTAAGGTGATCTAGACCCTTATAGACATACAATTTTATATATATATATGTTTTATTTATTTAATTGAACAAGAAATATACATGCGTGAATTAGATATTCTATATAAATTATAAGAGTAAAGTCGACTTGTTGAATCTTTAAAGGATGTTTGCACAAACTTGTTAGTTCGCTCTACCTGGTATGCACAAAAATGATTGGAGTAGCAAATTATTGTGATTTGTTTGCAAAGGAAAACGATGTCTTGAGAAAGATCATGATAAAACATATGAATTATTTCCAAGAATACTAATTTAGCTATTTCTGTTTTATCAGCTATGATCAAATTTGGAGCATAAGTATTTCCATATTTTAAAACCCACGACACTGGAACGTAATTATTTTTAACGTCATCAGTTACTTAATTTTTGAAATCTAAATAATCCGGCAATAAATATACATAATTCCCAAGATTTACTATTATTTGCCACTGCTCCATCCTTTTCTTTAATTGTAAATAAGTGAAATGTTTTTCTATAAATATCAAATGATAGAGAATTATCGCTATTCATACCTACAAATACCTTCCATCAAGTCATGCATAACGTCGAAGGAACATGACGAAAAATATCAAAATAACGTAGACTTAAAAATTGAATCTTGTTTGATACCATTCTTTTTCTCAGCGACATCATGAATGTGCTTTTCGGTGGAGCGTAAATCTTTAACATTTTCTTTAATTTCGGTTTGACATTTATGTTTGTTCATGTAACAAAGTCTACAAGGATTTATATCATTAAAACTTTCGATAAAACCAAGAACGTTGTGGAGTTCGAGATTGTCTCCCGAAAAATTAAATAAATCAAAGTAAACCTTATAGACTTCATTCTCAACAATAATTTCAATGCTGTTATTTCGTAAATCATATAATTGTTGTAGCATTGGACTATAAATTTTTGATAAACTGGTTATTTTTTTATCGGACGATTTAGATAGCTGAAATAAAAATATATTTTTGAGTAAGCTTGCATACTCTGGTGGCACACCACTGATGCAACAATATGAGGCATGTTCTTTACTTATGCTACTATGAGAAACAAGAGGATTGTTTACTTCAAAGTCATCGCCATACACAGTTAACGGAAATACAATATTCTTACCAAATTTTTTTTTTCAATTCTAGCCATCTTTCACTTTTATATATCGAGCAAATGCATTTACATTCTTCCATTTCCTTAATATAATTAGTAACCAAAGAAAAAACATTAGGTAGTTTTAAAAATTTTTTAAAAATTAGTTTTAACGGTATCATCACAACTGTAATTTTTACCTGCTTGTACTGTTTTTTTACTCTAGACACCCGTCTAGAGCGTAGTAAAGTTAAAACATGGATAACTTTTAGTTCAATATAAGGTAACTTTTTCAGAGTTTTTAATATCCTGTGTGTGGTTCTATAGTTTTGAAATACATTTTTCATTACATTTAGAATATTTGTAATACTTTTATCGTTGCCCTTATCTCTAGTCACAATTAATAGTTTTTCAATAAAATTATTGTTATAACAATTTTGAAACGCTAAAATGATAGACATTAGGGTTTTCGTAGGTAGAAACACAATAGCATATGAATAGCTAACAAAAATATTAACTACATTTGAAATATTGTCATATTTATCTAAATATTTAGTCAAACTCCCCGCATTGTTATCAGTACTGTTACATTGAGTCGCGCATTTTACATAATTTTTAGACTGATTCAAAATTTGAAAATCTACTGGCATTTTGAATTCAAAACTATTGGTATTGACATCACTGTCTTGATTAATAACAATTTTAGAATTCGGATATGACAAATCCGGTTCGTTTGAATACTTTTCATTAAAAGAACATTCATGTGATTGGAGATATTTAATGAAACTATTCACATTACTAAATATCCTTTGGCACTTGCTTGCTTTACACTTTAGTCTGTGGCAATTTCCAACATGTTTAATTTTTAAATGAACGTTAACATTTTTTATAATTGAAAATTCACAGTCGCACAGTGAGCAATTAAACCTATTCATATTGTATAATTTTTTAAACCAAGAAATATTTCAACATAACATAATAAGCTGATTTATATAAAATAATAAATATTTTTAAATAATATCAAAATCACAGTTTTACTCGAAACAATAATTTTTGAACCAAAAGTTTTACAAGTTTAATCACTAAGTTAAAGTTTCATATAGTTTGATTTATAAGCTAAAATCTATCAGTTAAATTTGGGCAGACATCCCATATTATTTAGTATCGCGTTAACATCGATAATAGATTTGTCCCACTTCGTACGAAATTGATACAGCCTATGTTGCAGCATTAGCCATATACGAGTATGTTCACTTTGAGGTGTGTAGCATGCGTTAAGTACGTGGAATGCTTTAAAACACAAATCTAATGCAGCTCGTAGAGTGGGTATCGCATATACAATATCATCTATACAGACGTATACGGAATCGACTTCGTAGTCTCCTTCTACGACAATAATGTATGGCTGGACTGTTATTTTCTTACTTCTAGCATACAGATGACGTTCAATTTTTGCTCTATCAATATCACCGTGTACCTAAAATATACGAAACATGAAAAATGATTTGAAATATTTGGCAAATTCATGAAAATTTATTATAAATAAAACGTCAAATATATAAAAAATTATTGACATTCGAATATAATTAAAAATATATAAATTCAACACGCGTAACAATTCCTTCTAGACTTTCTACAGCAGAAGGTTTCCATTTTTTCTTTCCTCCTACAGGAATTCTTGCAGTTAACGGTACAATCGCACACAAAAGCATTAATCGGACCAAAGTTCCATCGTCTGTAAAAAGATAAGCACCTTTTTTTTTATAATGTTGCGAATTGAACGGTAAACTATAACCAAAATAATCTTTATATATTACCGTCTTTTAAATCTTGTCTTTCGAGCATTCCTATTAAGAAATCTGTGGTTTCGTCTTTCCTCAAAGCCTTTGCTTCCAATGCTTTATTAAAAAAATGATTCAAAATAATCAATGCAATTCAGCTTGTCCGTATACTTTCTATGCAAAAAATCTTCTAAGATTAGAAGATAACCACATGGACATTTCAAAATAGGCCACTCTTCGTACACCTTCGATATTTTATTTTTAAGTACTGTTTCCACTTGATTACGCCTGTAATCAGCAGTGATTTTCCAGTGCTTTTCAGTT